TCTCTCTCTCTCTCTCTCTCTCTCTCTCTCTCTCTCTCTCTCTCTCTCTCTCTCTCTCCTCTGAATTCTGATACCACCTTGTGCATCATGTACTGTAAAGAACTACTACAAAGACAACAGTATGCAATGTATTAATTATTATAACTGTCCTACTAACCTGTCTCATTGCTACTTCTTTCTCAATAAAACTAATGTTAAAAGAACTGTATAGTGAGACCCTGTCTCAAAACAAAACAACAAAAATAAAAAGACAAAGGTTTTTCTTTAGAAGAAACAAATGGTAGGGTAAAAAGCTAGTGCATTAAAGGGAATTGCATTGGATTCAGTAAAACACATTCATTTTTAGCATGTGTACTGCTAATATGATGTGGTCTACAGATGCTAGCTGACTGACGCAGCACCAGCAGAAAAAGGCAGGAAACCGGCCACTCACTGTATCTTTATCCTTGCACTGGGTGACTCATAGATCTTGCTTGTCAGTTCTCACAAAATTTCCCAAATGTGGCTATTGATTTTCTCATTTTAGAGCTGAAAACACCAAGAGACTTGGTAGAAGTCACATGGTTGGTAACGTTAGAGCCAGGGCTTCTCAGGTTTGCTGGCTCCAAGTTTAATGCTCAAGTCAGAACCCTTGCATTCAACTTTCAAGTCCCAGAATTCCTTGGACCCCCACCCTAAAACACCTATTTTGCTTCTCCTATCATAGCAAAAGTTAAGTAACAGTGACAAACGTAAGCAAGGCACAGCAGTCTCTTGCTTATGTGCAGTAGAGATCAAGGATAATTTCCTGCTTTAGATATTGTGCAGAGTAATACAGGGGCCTGTGCCCCTACATCACTCTCTGTCTCTGTCTCTGTCTCTGTCTCTGTCTCTGTCTCTGTCTCTCTCTTTCCTCTGAATTCTGATACCACTTTGTGCACACTTAACAATATCTCTTACAACAGTGTACTCATATTATTCGCTACTTGTTTCCACATCTGTCTCCTCCACTGGTCTACAAACTCCACAGAGGTAAGATGATGCCTCTATTGTTTTTGTTTTTCTGTGTTAGCACAGAGCCTGACTCATAACAGAGGCACCCTAAATGTTTGATTCTACTCGGCTCTTAGCTAAAGGGTTGATGTCTCTGCCCACACACATTTGTTCTCCAAGAACTAAAATGAGTTTCTCCTTTTTGCAGTCATGCAGTCACAGAACTCAGCTGAGTCTTGGGTTTCAGGATACTATTTTATTTATTTATTTATTCACTTATTTACTTATTTATCTAATGTATTTGGTACAGGTTCTCACTATGCAGCTCCGACTCATAGTGATCCTCCTGTGTTCAGCCTCTCCAGTGCTGAGATTACAGGCATGGGCCACCACGCCAGGACCAGGGCCAGTGTGGCATGTGGTGCTGGGGATAGAACCCTGGTTCTTATGCTTGCCTAAGCAGCACTTAGTCCACTGAGCTATCTCACTTGCCCAAGGATACTAATATTTATAGGTTTTGGTTCTGATCCTCAGACTCACTGATGCTCAAGAACAACCTTAGAGTATATTGGTGTACCTCTTTCTTTTTGTTCAGTAGCGTAGAGTTTCCTTTCTGAGAGGACTTATCCCAATCTGCTGTTACAGGAATAAGTTGGATTGACTGAACCAAGTCTCATTAGTGAGAACAGTGAGTCAGGGATTGCATGCTATTCATCGCTAAAATGCCAGTACTAGTACGGGGTTTCTGCCTCACAACTGTTACTAAATTTCATGATTATGGAATGAGATAAAGGAGCATGGACTAGAATTACTTGATTTATTTATTCACTCCACCATTTGTTGTTTTGCTACTCATTGCACGTGTGCTGTGTGCCAGACTAAGCTGTGGGTAGGGCCAGAGATCCTTTTTCTGGGATTATGTATGGGTAAAGGACTTCATTCCTTCAGTATCTAAAAGCAAGACCGATTCATTAATCCTAGCGCTGTGTAAGAAGGCTCTGTGCATCTCCAGCCTAGTAAATGCCTGGAGAAGCCACAAACCTCTTCTGTAGCATGTTCAGTATGCTATTCCAGAGAAAAGGTTAGTTCTGAGTGGCTTAAAGGTAGCCCCTGTTCCCCAGATGGGAGACAAGATTTTTGGGGTGTGGCTAGTAATCTGTGTATCAAGTACCAAAGAAGTAGAGCTCCTCAAATTATAACTCTCTAAATATTGGCAGACTTCTTATTTGGATTGGGAAGAAAAGTTGGGTCTGGAGCATTTACTCATTGGTGTAAGTAAACTTTATTTAGTGCATACTCCGAAGTAGGAGAGACAGGGGCATGCAGGCGAAGAGCCCCTGGGGAGGATCTTCTTATTGTAAGCTGTAACTGTAAGTTACTACAATGAGACTCAAACTTCAGTAAAGAAGTACTCATTGTATGTCAGGCATTTGGTGATGTAGCAGTGAGCAATATAGCCCCAGCTCCTATCCTCTAACTAGTGGTGTTTGGGAGTGGAGGATGAAACAATAAATCGAAAACCCAAACTCTGTGAACATTACTAAGTGGTTTGGAAAAAGGAAACAGCCTTGGTGAGAGCTGAGAGCTGGTGCATCTGAGATATGAAAGCAAAGGGAGATGATAACAGTGTGAAAGCAAAGAGATCAGCGTACATGAATCTGCAGAGGGAGGTTCATACGAGGCACTACAGGCTCCAGTAGGGGGCCGGAGACGTAGGACTACTGAGGTGTTGTTTCTGGACTGATGCTATGTTCAGATTTGTGCTTCCAATAGATTATTCCAACTTCAGTGTGCCAAAGGGAGTCAGAAAGATCAGTTTTGAGACCATTGTAGTGAACCAAGCAGGAGACAAGATAGTCACAGACTCATGTGGTGGCAGGGGAGAATCAGAAAAAGAATAAAAGAGATTATTACTGAATATTCAGTGGATGAGACATTGGAGAACAAAAGAGAAAGAACTGTTGAAGAGGACCACAAATCTTCGGTTTGTAGGACAGGGTGGAAGTTAGGGCTATTTGTGGGGCTCTGGAACAATAGAAAAGAATAGCTTTACAGGGAAAGCATGTGTGTGTTTCAAGCAATTTAAACTTGAAAGATATTCTAAAAATGTAGTTAGCTGAAACTGTAGGTCTAGAACTCAGAAAAGAGGCCTGAGCTGGAGGTAAAAATGTGTGAGTCATGCACACAGATGGTATTTGAAGTATGGAAGTTGATGAAATCACCGAGGGAGGGAAGGGGGAGGGAGACAGACAAAGAATAGAATAAAAGGACAATCAGACTTACAGTAGAGACTTAAGGGACTGTAGTATTTAGTGAGTGGGTAGAGGAAGAGAAATCTGCACAGGAAACAGAGTATTCAGACAGGTAGAAAAACTGGGAGAGGGTAGAGTCAAGGAAACAGAGTGTTTCAAGAATAACTGAGTAATTAATAGTACCAAATACTCTTCCTAGGGCAGATTCAAGCTCTGTGTCTAAAGGAAAGTGAAGCTTTTTTGATAAGCTTGAGAACACTTTTCCCAACAGAATTCCATGGGTTTTCCTAAACAGACGCACCTTCAACTGTAACTCAAT